AAAGAGCGCCTGCTCCCCTCGCTCCGTCTCTCGAGGCTGGGTTTTGAGCGGGTTTATAGAGGAAGAGCGAACGGGGCCCGCCATTTTTGTTCTCCTCAGGCTGAAGGGGCAGCGACGGTGGAAACGCGGGGGTCGTTGGACGGAGGCAACAGCGTTGGCAAGAGGAAGCCGTACCGTTTTCAGTCCCTGGCTTCTTTTCCTCATGTGAAATAAAACAAAATAAAAGTAGTGTGTGCCTATTTATTTCTGACATTTGAGGCAAGGCGGCTGGCATGGCTCTCCTTTCTTTCCTCTCCTGGGGACAACCCTGCGATGCGAGCCAAGCCTTCCCTCACAAGCAGCCCCTCGTCTCTCGTTTATTCTTAGGAGTTTGTCACACGGGGACCATATGTACCTCCATCCCGATCATGATCAAAACGGCCACAACTCTCAAAAGCGTTCAATGCACTAATGCAGGGGTAGGCAACCTTTCCCCTTTAAGGGCCGAGGGACTTCAGCTCCCAGAATCCCAGGAGCTATTGGCCAACATGGGACTATTGGCCAACATGGCTGAGGCTTCTGGGAGCTGAAGTCCCTCGGCCCTTAAAGGGGAAAGGTTGCCTACCCCTGCACTAATGCTTTTCACACGCAGAACACAATAACACATTAGAACAGGGGTAGGCAACCTTTCCCCTTTAAGGACCGAGGGACTTCAGCTCCCAGAAGCCTCAGCCATGTTGGCCAATAGTCCCATGTTGGCCAATAGCTCCTGGGATTCTGGGAGCTGAAGTCCCTCGGCCCTTAAAGGGGAAAAGTTGCCTACCCCCACATTAGAAGTTCATTACTAAAGCGAGAAAGAGGGCAGAATTCGCATTTGGTTCTCACACAGATGTGTGTAAATCCAGATAATGGTTTGGAAATCACTTTTTTTGCGCATGCCCACAGAAGAAGTATCTGTGTCACCAGAAATCACCCAGAGAAATTTTATTTACACAATTTTATTTACACAATTTTCTTTTTAAAAATATACTGTACTGTCCCTTACTTTCCAAGAAATGTTATCCAACCTAAGTACAAAGAACAAAACATCACCTAAAGAAGTAAGAAAGGTGGAAAAACAGCATAAAAGACTGCCTGTCCTTCTGGGCAACCGATGTCCCTGCCTTCCCTTAGCAGCTGTTCCTTTAAGAGCCCCAGCTAATGGAGAAGGGACATTCACACAGAAAAGGGAGAAGCAAGCTTTTTCTCTGTGTCCCTGCCTTTGCCTCAGCA